AATGCATCTGAGACACGCCGCACGCTGAGCCGAGCAGGCGTTCCAGGAAGAGATTGCGCTGCTGGTCACTGAACTCGTCGAACCAGTCCAGCATCGTCTGCACGCGTGCCTTGTAGATGCGGCCGTCTGTCCAGAAGGCCGACGCTGCCCCCGCCGACGCGGCTGGCGTAGCCGTAGCGCACGTTTGATCGCCGCACTCCTCCTCCTCGACGAGCGCCTTCTCCTGGCAGAGCGTCTGCACGGAGCCAAAGTCGTCGGCATTCCGGCCCCCCAGCATCTGCATCTGGCTGCCCAGGCTGGGATGGTGCACGGCGGCGACGAGCGCCGACTGCTGCTGCTGCTTGGCGCTGGCGCAGTAGCCGAGACTGCCCGTCGCGCTGTGCATGCTCGGGCTGCGCGACTTGGTGACGGCAAATATGCTGCCGGGCGCGCTGTGCAGGCGCACGGCCTCGCGATGGCCCACTTTCTGCTGGTCGCCGCTCGCGTCCTTCTCCGCCACAATGCACGTGAGCGATCCGGGATGCGAGCGTTTCGCCGTGAACTCCAGTGAGGAGCGCAGCGGGCACGTCTTGCGGCTTCGCAGGCGCGGGAACGTGTGCACCATCGCTCTGTCCGCAGTGCAACTGTTGCCGCTGGACAGTGTCTGAAGACTGCCGCCGCTACTACTGCTGCTGCAGCAAGTGCAGCACGACGGGCAGCGGCATGGCAGCGGTCCGGCCTTCGGCACATGTGCAAACTTCCTGCCGTCAGATGCCAAGGCCAGCGGTAGCGATCCGGTGCTTCCCTGTGCGTGATACCAGCTGTCTCTGGAGCACTGCGATTTGCCGCTGCCGGCACTGGACCGGGAAATGGCCGACGGAGAGTGAGCTAACGGTGCATGCGGCTGGTGCTGCAGCAGAGACTCCTGTGACTGTAGCTGCTGCTTCTGTTGTTGCTGCTGCTGCAGCGGTTGTTGCTGCTGCTGCTTCTGTGGTAGCTGACCCTGGCGTTGCTCCAGAAAGTCTGCACTCGATGTTTCCGTATGCACACTCGGCACGTCTCCGTCAGCCGCATCAGCTTTTACGCACTGTTCTGAGCGATCAAAAAATCCCTCTATCTCAGCCATCTCACTGGAGTCGCCGAATGTCCTCGTTGAGCAGCTCAGTGAGTGCACAGAGTATTCTTTTTCACCGTAGATCCATGGGCGAGCTGCACCCTCATCACCCTCCTCCGCTTCCTCAGACTCACAATAAGCTTGATCCATGTCTTCAGGCCAATGTGAGTGCGTACTGCCAGTTTGAGAAATGGCATCAGCGTCAGGTGAATGCATGGATGACTGGCTTGCTTTGCGCGATATTCGTCGACGCAGCCAAGGACGCGTGCTAGACATACGCTCAAGCATTTTAGCTTTTTTCTGAGGCTTCGACTCGTCCAGGTCAAGGTCTTTCTTCCAGTAGGAGCCCACCTCCTCGTCCAGACTGTGATCTATGGTTGCGCTTGCCATTTTCTCAATGAGGAGAAAATAAAGTGGTCAGAAATCGGGACAGTCACCAGGTCTCAGTTCTCCCAGACCAGCAGTTCATCGCCAGCAACCACTAAAAACTGTCTCGTCCTACGATGGCACACTTTAGCACACTCACATAGCATAGAAGGCCTGAAGATACACCAAAATCACCACGCCACTGCTTCATGAACCACTAGAAAAAAAGAGGAAAACGCCAACAACACGAAAAATGCATTCATTGCAACTTTGTTTGAGTTTGAACAGCGCACCCAAGCATTCCCATGGCCCACTTCACCGCCGCGACGTCCCCTGATGATAGCGTCGCGTGACATCGTGCGGAACATGCCAAACAGATCAGTAGAGTACATTATTATACTATTTATAGTCGGTACAAGATTCAGCGAGTCGTCAAATACCGACTTCTAGGTGTCGCTGGAACTCTGCACTGCACTCTGCAGCACATGTGCCAGCACAGGGAGTCGTTTGCCGGTTTGGGTACGAGTCGACTGCTTCCATGCTGCAGATCAGACACTCGGCGAGTGTGCGTGTGCGCGCGCGCCCGCGGCCCGTGCCACGCTGAAATAGTGCGGGCATGATTGTGTGTACAGCTGTACTAGTATTCACAAGCACATGCGCGGTACGCGTGTGTGTGTGCACGCGTGCGTGCGCATGTGGATGGGTGGTTACACGTGTATGTGCGTGGTGCGTGCGCGTCGTGTGCGTGAATGTGTGTGTGTGTGCGCGCGTGTGTATGTCCGTGGTGTGTGCGCGTCGTGTGCATGAATGTGTGTGTGTGTGCGCTCGTGTGTATGTCCGTGGTGCGTGCGCGTCGTGTGCATGAATGTGTGTGCGCGTGTGTGTGTGTGTGTGCGCGTGTGTATGTATGTATCATTTTCTGATCAGCATGGCCAAGATCGCCCATTCGCTCCCGGGCTAGTACTAGTAGTGCACAGAGCACTTCCAACCAGGACCCGAGTCGCCGGTACTTTTACGACTCCCTGCTTCCAACCAGGGTGGTGGCCTGGCACTAGCGTATTAAACTTCATACAACTGTGACGCGGTTGCCGGGTTGTGTGAATTGTTCAACAATAATGATGAGTGCACAGATACACATTAAATTAGATTACTGATCACCGGCACGGCATCTGTAAGTATTGGCGCGTTTCCTTCGTTCCAATTCTCCTCATACCCTCTCTCATGCTATGTCCTGTAATAATTATACTGATAATTTCACGGCACGCATGCGGCGTGTGATATGGGGCCTTGATGCATATAATCATAACTGCAGCATGACGGAGGGACAGCTTGCGATTGGATGCGGTGATGTGTTTCGTTCTCTGAACTGCATTGCGTGAGCTCCACCATGGCGAAACGGAAGAGGTGCAGTCCGCAGACATGTGTTTTTGTGCGATTATGCATATACCAGTATACGTGTTCAAAGGACCTTGGGAGGACCAGGTGAAAGGCTAACAGATTTGAACAAGATCTACTGTTGGATTGACCCATACACCATTGAACCGGCACAATCTCCGTAGCATTGAATAACCATGCCGTAAATCTACTGCAAGTCAAAGTGCCGCATTACTCAGAAATTCCAGCAGCAGAAGCAGCAGCGACGGCGGCTAGATTACAACACACATGGCATGCTGGGCCGCCTAGTGCTACTGCATGGGTACCTCGCATGGTCGAGCTCACACACCGACATTCAGCCTGCCTAGCCGCTTCATGATCCTTGCTGATAAAGAAGCGAGCTCATAGTGTAAGAATCAAGCTTTTCGTGATCATAAAATGAGAAGCACGCTGCAAAAATGCTCTAGAAAGGAACCAGCCTTGGAGGGGAAGTACTACTAAATATGACAAAAAATAGGGATTATGTACTGTATTCTAACGCAAATTGCTATGGAAACTTGAAACAAGATTGGTGTCTCGATGTGGGTATGTCAAGTGAAATGAAGGCTCAGTAGGCGATGGCGATAAAAGAAGGGATGTAGTAATTGTCAGTAGTAATTGACTAATAATATGTTCATTGCTAGGAGACATGAGCAAGGAAACTGTCTCATAGTGTGTCGTATTCCGCGGGAACTGTATATGCATACAGCCTGAATGCTCCGGAATTCCTACAGAGCTAGAGGTTGAATATATCTGGGGGCTGCAGTCTCACCGGGGGTTCATCGAAGCTATATTACAGGCCCGGCAAATGTTTCTGATACAAATCGCTGCAGCATGACTGTGGTACCATTACCACCAAGAGTTCATAACCCCCATGAACTCGTGTTACCACCCTTCTCACGTATACAGCCGCAGATGCAGCTGCGGATCAACGCCATCGGCCTCTTAGCGGCAGTGGCCGCACACTCAAGCGTGGTACCGCACGCTGGTGACGGTTTCAACACGCAGCTACGTGTTGTATGTATCGGCGTGCGTTCCCACAGTGAGATATAATCTCAGAGCTTTCCAGACGCACCAAGTGCAGCCAGAATGATAGCAATGATAATCAACAGAACGACTATGGCGATGAGAATTTTCCACTTCATGTTTTTCCACCAGTACCTTTTCCTAAGGTCGTGCGATGTTTTCTTGAACGTCGACGCATCGGCTTCCAGATCAGCCGCTTTTTCCACCAGGATATCGAGCTTTTCGCCTCGCTCCAACACTCGCTCGATGTTCTGCGTCATGATGCCCTTGACCTCCTCCACTTGCGAGCTGAGCTCCTCGAGGCGATTGGGCCTGTTCATCTCCTCGCGATGGAACTCCATCTGCGAGCCGAGGACGTGGGTGAAGTCTCGACGCAGCTCGTACGACTTGGCCGTGATCGCCCGCTCTACGAGGGGTCCCTGCGCGAATCGAGTTCGAATGTCGCGCAGGTAGGCGAACGCATACTTGTCTTGCAAGTTTTTATTGGCCATGACAATATAGGAGAGGCCGTCGCTGTTGATGACATGATAGTTGTACTCTCCAGCGTGGAACGTTACTCTCTTCTCCGTATTCTTGGACAGCCGGCCCAGCATCGAGATGGTGATGGTCTCGAAATTGCCGGTCATGTCCGTGAAGTCGCACAACACTGTCGTGCCGCGGCACACCAAGGCGTAGATCAGGCTCATTGTGATGTTAGCCCGGCCGGCTCAGCGCACACTGATGCCGACGTGCTTTCCCTCCCGATAAGTTCTATCTCTCTTGTCGCACGGGCGGCTCGGCTAGCCTTGTCCACGGCAAGTCTAGATGAAAACCTCAGTCACATCAACTAACGTTAGTCGTTACTTACTTCATCGCACACAACTCAAAAGTTACTGCATGCATCGCCGCCTCGAAGTCGAAGAAGAAGTCCGGACAAATCGCATTTTTTATCGAGCTTGCTTGATAGAAATGTTTCTTTTTCACAACAATCATCATTAAAATTAAAACTACTATTTTCATGCTGGCGCTGAGCCAGCCGCTGACACGATGTGCGAGTCAGGCTCATAGTCATACTCATAGTCATACAGACACGGCGGCGGCGTTTCAACATCGCCGCGGTCAGTGGGAGGGCCGTAGATCTACTCATGGTACTACAATCCTACATGTACTACTGCGTGGGCCCCATGCATGGGCATGGGCCTACTACTACTACTACTACTACTACCAGTATATCAAAAAGTATTCTTTCAAGACCAAAGAGTGGTATATTTGATAACATTTAATAACGATAGAAATTTTTACGATACTTCTCCAGACGTTTCGTTGTTCTGAACAACATCGTCAGTGGATAAAGAATGCTTCTTTATCCACTGACGATGTTGTTCAGAACAACGAAACGTCTGGAGAAGTATCGTAAAAATTTCTATCGTTATTAAATGTTATCAAATATACCACTCTTTGGTCTTGAAAGAATACTTTTTGATATTACAATGAGAGTGAATAATCAACGGCTTGTCCACCAACTCTACTACCAGTATAGTACTACCCGGATCACGGAATGAGATGCTGTCTTGTTGCTTCTTCAAGTATTAAAGGGGAAGTTAAGGCAAAAATTAAAATTTCACCAGTTGTAGTCTTCGGGGTGCTGAGTCGAATGGTCTTGGTCCGAGAAAGCTGAGACGCTCCCTTCCTACTTGAATCCCAATCGAACTCGCGCACTTCCACCGAAACTGGGTGACTGCGCCCTACTAGATGGGGATTTGTATGCAAAATGTCACTAAAAGCGCCATTTCGTTCTTATAAAAGCACGGATGACCGCGATTGGCCCATATGTTATAGTCTTTTGGACGCTGAGTCGACTGGTTTTGGTCCGAAAAGGCTGCGATGCAGCGTTCCTCCTTTATTCCCAATCGAACATGGTTGAAGAAGTGGTCACGTGCTCCTGGTTGCCCAAATCACCTGGTCACCACGCCAGCAGGCGACAACTTTCACACCAAGGTTCAACTCGAGTTCAACTCGAGTGACCAAAAAAGGTCAAACAGGCTAGTAAGTTGTACCCTGCAGGCACGGTGACCAGGTGACTGGCGTACGCAGGAGCACGTGACTGCTTCTTCAACCATGTTCGATTGGGAATAAAGGAGGAACGCTGCATCGCAGCCTTTTCGGACCAAAACCAGTCGACTCAGCGTCCAAAAGACTACAACATATGGGCCAATTGCGGTCATCCGTGCTTTTATAAGAACGAAATGGCGCTTTTAGTGACATTTTGCATACAAATCCCCATCTAGTAGGGCGCAGTCATCCAGTTTCGGTGGAAGTGCGCGAGTTCGATTGGGATTCAAGTAGGAAGGGAGTGTCTCAGCTTCCTCGGACCAAGACCATTCGACTCAGCGCCCCGAAGACTACAACTGGTGAAATTTTAATTTTTGCCTTAACTTCCCCTTTAATATAATTATTTTAGTTCTTGACTCATTGCACTCAGTGACTGAAAACACCAGCCTTGTCATACACTGATAGTGATACAGTACAGCATAGTGATAGACAGTGGTGAGTTTGACGTCTTGGCGTCATTGTCCACGTCGTTGACAGCTTGTGTCTAGTTGTGAACTGAGCTCGATGTCTTGGGAAGGCACTCATACTCATAGTAGCACAATATTCAATAAGCAAGAGTCCATAAACGTTTATGGACTCTTGCTCATAGTCATACCGGTAGTTATTATTATCGGGATTCGTGATACAGACTCATGTAGTTGACACGGCCAATGCCAGACCCGATCACCTGGTGTTGTCTCAGTGACCACACGCAGACGGACTGGGGTCGGGTGCATCTCGACTTGCTCAAAATAATGTTTGGGCGAAGTATGCCATACCCGTTCAGTGGATCCGAACACCGTCTAGCGTCCGACCTGTGAGATCCCACGGAGCGGAAATACTCACACATGCGAAGGCTTGACTGAGTCGACGAGTTGTTTTTCGAATCAGCATTGAGGACGTTGCCTTCCTTGTGTTAGTCGTTGCCTCGTTTCTTGTGAAAGGAGATCCACGGCCACATGCAGTCCACTCCCTGAGAGCTGAAGGAGGCGTCTCCAGACGGACCCAGGCTTTGTTGTCATTCCTGTTGCGAAGTCCACACGTCTCCAACACCAGGGCACGAAGTTCTACAGTCCGAAGTGGTTACTGGTGGAAGCTCTGTTGGTGCCGCGAAGAGTGTAGCCGTAGGTCTGCCCAAGCGGCCAAGGCGCACTTCCAGAAAGCAAATTCGCATGCTCTGAGAACCGCGAAGGTTCTCTGCCCTGTACGTGGACTGCATAAGTTCTTGTGCTCTTGCTCTTACCACGAAGCTAGCTACTGGCGAGTGTGAAAACAGCACCTCGCGAGCTCGGTACCACCTCCTCAACCCTCCCTCTCGTAAATCTACGACCACCTTGCACCTTGAACAAGCCGCTAACGCTGGAGCTTTGTGCCAGGCCGAGCTCGATCGAGCTCTTCGAAGCCGCCTCGCCTAGCGAGCTGCGAGAAGAACTGCAAAAAGTGTGATCGATCATGTGAGTGAGTGGAAGTCCGTGAATATTTTTCAAGAATTTATTTCGCCGGCTGAAACAACCTTGCCTCTTGTTTGCGTGGGTATTATCGGGTACTACGCTGTGGTTTGGACATTAATTTTTGGATTGAGGAGGACTCCACTTTACTTCTCTGCTTGTAGAGTAATTGTGCCGCCAGGCGGAGGTTCAGTTTGGTTTCCGATGCTGCCTGCGTGAGGATTTTACCTGAGCTGTGGATCGCATGGTGGAGGTGGCATGCGGACACATCAGTTCGTGCCAAACGGTGACGAGCAAAGTAATGTCTCCTCCTTGAGAGGGCAATGAAAGATACATGCGTCGCCAAGGCAGAGCAGGCAGCCTGTGGACGTCCCAGCGCTGCAGGTAAACCCTCCATGCGACCCGATGGAGACGCGAGCGGGAACTGTCAGGATGGCAGGAGCTTGGAAGCTCTGCTGCCCAAGCTGAAGTCCATCAGCGAGGAGCAGGCATGGGCAATTTGTTTCCTCACTTCACTGTCGCTTGTTGAGAGCAATCCTCCAGTTGACTTTGAGTTGTCGATGACAAATGTCCACGCCACATCCTGCGGCTCAATTGTCATCAAGAAGGAGTCGGACAAGGAGAGGAACAGTGGTAGGTGTCGCGTGTCGTGTGTATGAACGGTGTACGTACCAGCATACGCTGTACTACTTGAGCTGTGTCCTAAACATTTAGCCAGGGCCTGAGAACTCTATCGATACTTCGAAACAAAAACGAAAAAAGCATAATGCACTTCATTGTAACGATTCGCACGCATTTGGTTGTAATAGTGAACCAGTGAATTCATTTCAACCGAAACACTGCTTCATGAGAGTGAGGCTAATAGTATGTATTTCATAGGTACAAATCTCTCTAGCACCAGCTGTTGAATTCAGCCTTGACCATTGGTCCAGTACATGCACATAGAAGCTATGCAAGTGACATCATTGTATGTCTTTTGTATACTGGCAGACCAGTGTTTGTTGCGCCGGTCTGTACAGACCGCCTTCAATAAAGATGTAACGTAATCACACAGCCTCTGTAGGTCATCGCTTTTCCACCATGAAAGAGATGTAGCCACTGAGAGCAGAACGTATTGAGTGTTTTGCGATTACATCATCACTGGACAACAGTAGAGATAGCTTTGGCAAAGTCAGTCACGGCACAGCGCACAATGCACTAGCTCAAACAAAACCCTTGGAAACCGCCGACTCGCGTTGCATACATAGTGCCCATGAGCGGTTCCGCTGACTCATCGCCATGGCATCATTCACATAACCTCTAATGTTACACAGTTTATGCTCGACCTATACTGTGTCATGCACAAGGGTGATCCCTGCGTCTTCCAGTATCATGCACAGTTATTCGTGAATCCATTGTAACTTGTAAGCCTTTAGCAAGAGCCTTGGTCTTGGAGCCTTCACCATAGCCACGGCTCTGTGGTTGGGAGAGAGAGTGTGTGTGTGTGTCACTGTGTGTGTGTGTGTGTGTGTGTGTCACTGTGTGTGTGTGTGTGTGTGTGTGTGTGTGTGTGTGTGTGTGTGTGTGTGTGTGTGTAGGTGTGTCTGTGTGTCACTGTGTGTGTCTGTGTGTGCACGTGTGTGTGGACATGTGTGTGTGGACGTGTGTGTGTGTGTGTGTGTGTGTGTGTGTCTGTGTGTTTGGGCGTGCATAAATCAGTGGGTGTGCATCTAGCGCACTTGCAGATTTTCGTGCTTCTCTTGCAGCGGACATACATGTACATGGTGGTGGTGGTGGTGGTGGTGGTGGTGGTGGTGGTGGTGTGTGTGTGTGTGCGTGTGCGTGTGTGTGTGTGTGTGTGTGTGTGTGTGTGTGTGTGTGTGCGCGCGCGCGCACACACACACATGTAGGTGAACAGACCCTAAGGAGGAGTATCATCGAGACCCATGCTCATATGAACAAGAGTACAAGTCATGTTAAACTCCCAAGAATGTGCAACTGGCTGCTCAACCTCTATCTTGTACTGCGACAACAGATTTCAAATCACGTAACATTGTTCAATAGGTTACGCTGGAAAACAGTGCAAAGTGACCCCAAGAGAGTTGAACCGAAGGCAGGGTTGCGTACAACCCAGCACCTATCATGCACAGGGTGCAAATAATGTGTACGGGTTCGTCACGTGATGTGAAGTTCTGCCCCATAGCAGGAGTTGCACACTCCCTAGGTGAGGGGATTAGGATGTGTACTGAAGTGGGCATTTGCTGCGCACAAGCGGTATTGACTTGGTAGACAACACTTCCTAAGTGCTGACACGTGTGCAGGCTGCTTTGGCCAACGGGATTAACCCAGCAGTCATTGCGGTGAGCATTGCATCTATCTATTAGCCTGTCACCCGGCATTTATTGCCCGAGCGTAAATGCATGCGGAATTTCTGTGCTTGACTACTTCGTACAATGCCCATTGTGTATGCTGTACACAGGTGTTGTCTAGAGTGCAGGGGCCAGAATTGGCAAGCTGGAAATGTAGATTTATCTCCTGTGTCGTGTCCAGGTTCAGCGCCGAACACGGGGAGTGGCAGTGATGGAGAGTCCGGCGGAGATAGTGAGGACGAGGAGACTGGTCCAATGAACGAAGAAGACGTAAGTTTAGAATCTGTGACGGACTTTGTCCATTTTACATATTTGAAACTGTCAACCTCTCCACACTGTGCTCTTGGCCCACGTCCACAACACCATGCTCCATAGCGAGGAAGTTTGTTCTTGGATAGATGATGCTCCATATCCTCCAATATGGAGAGTGTTCACTGAGCGAAACAGCTGTCTGGAGGATATGGAGCGCAGTGTGGAGAGGTGGACGGTTTCAAAGATATACGTTGCTGGCATTATTGTTGATCTCATGGCACCGCGAATAGTTTGACTATTTTTCTGTTTGGGCGCATCTGCATTGTGCCAGATGTCATGAGGTATATCCAACGCATTCTCTCTTGTTGCATCTTCTACTTGTGTGTTATTTCCCCATGCAGGTCGTGACATCACTGGGTATGCTGATTTACAATGCCCTGGACTACGGCCTGAATGAAGACGCCGAGCGAGAGTTGACGGCGGAGATGCAGGAGCTGATCGAGAAGCTCACCACGGAGCCTGACGACGACAGCGGTGGCAACGGCGAGTGCACGTCGGACGCGATCTTCTCCGGCGAGGACGACGACTCTCCGTTCGTGTGGCCTGCCAGTCCCGTTACGACACGGCAGCTCATCAAGGTGCGCCCTTACATCCTAGACTTGCTTGTCTGCTGTTAAAGCTGTAACTCGCAGTTCCCCTGTATTAAAATTTTGTTGTTCATGGAGTTATTTTGAGTGCAGCAATGCCATTTCTCTTGTGGGCAGTGAAACCTGTCTTAAGACGACCGCTCAAGGGACCTTCAAAACGTGGTCTCTGTTACCAGGTGGTCTCCTTATCCAGGGTCATTTGACTGGAAATAGCACTGATTGGTCCTGGTTGCAGTGATCTTCTGCGACAGGTGGTTGCCTTCTCCGAGTGGTCGCCTTGACAGGTTTTACTGTACTTGGTATGAGCATGCTTGTGATTAAAAAAAACGTTACACCAGTTTAAGGATGGCAGTAAACAGAATCAGCTGAAGCGTCATTTCACGAAGGTTTTATTGAGATGTCTCGAACAAATTCTAGAGAAAGTGATGATGGGCAAAGAGATAACACCAGTGATATGCCTTTAATATTAAGCGCGCGGACTTCTTCAATCTGTATCCCGTGTCCGTCAATCCCCGTATCCACGTTTCCGCGTACACACGCGTGTGTGTGTGTGTCATTGCTGCAGGTGTGCGAGTTCCGTGTCAACACCAAAGATCAGCCGGCGGTCACCCATTACCAGGACACATGCCGGAAAATGGTGCAAGAAGCCGACGTGCTGGCTCTGTACAGAGATGCCGTAAGTGATATTCGATGGCTGCCGTGTGTGCTCCGAGAGGAACAGTTTCATCCACATTTCAACGCTGTTAACATGCAGTGCTTGTAACACGTTTTGTGTCTTGCCTGCGAAAAACCTGAGGCCACTTTGATCGGCTGAGTTGCAATGCGTCATTGCCATGCAGATACTTTATAGAGAGATTTAATGCACCTGGTGTGAACACAAATGAAGTCTAGCTGTTCACCCAGGTCGAGAAGTCACGTGAGGTGCATATTCTGTGCTAGAATGCGCTCCGTGTGGCCGTGAGTTTTCATATCTGCGCGCTCGACACAATGCATTACTGTTACTGTGTGTGGCGGCGGCATTCGTTTCCCTGCAATTATTGCATTTCACTGGGAAATGCGTGTGTGTTGCGCAGAGAGTGCTGCACGAAACGCCAGATTCACACGGGAAGACTCTTACGGGAGTGACGCCTCACACACATACACACACACACACACACACACACACACACACACACACACACACACACACGTGTATTGTGGAGTGCCATGACTTTTGCGCCTGTACCCTGTGGAGTGTTCATTTTCAACGTACTAACCCGTCCGCCCAGCGTGTGCAATGCACACCTTTACTGTTCTTCATTGAGCGCTTATGGTTGATAAATATGGTGGTAAAGACACACCTGGCAATATGGCGGTAAACACACGCCTGCCCACACACGCTCTCTAGGCTGCAACGTTCTGTTTTGAGTGCTGTTGTTTTTTTAACGAACTTCCAAACTTCAAACACCTTGTGAAACGGTAATTATGATGATTAGAGGAGTGTCATGGTGGTGGGGCTGAGCAGTGAACACACTTAGTCGAGCTGAGGTCTCGACCGCCATGTATGCCCAGTGCACCACGTGCGCAGGTATTCAACATTTCCCATCCACTAAACGGCCATCCACATGATGTTGTTGTGAATAATTATGTTGCTTCTTTTGAAGTACACTTTGTTGACCTTGTCACTGTGCTTGTGGTTCGGATGTGCAGGACGGCGAGTACATCATGGGCCTGGACTTTCTTGAAGAAGCTCCGCCTGCGCTGGTAAGTGATGTACCATATTTTCCGGAGTATAGTGCACACTTTAGATGTGCTATTTTAGGCCCTAAATCGCAGGTGCGCACTATGCTCCGAATATGAAATGCATGTACTTCAATGAAGATTGAAGTGCGCACCCCCAATGAAGATTGGGGGTGCGCGTTATACAAAGGTGCGCACTATACTCCGAAAAATACGGTACTTTCTTTTCTTTAGTTCCCTACTACTCGATAGTGCATGAGAGCAGTGTTGTTATTGGCGAGTTGTCGTTATTCGTGATGTTGAGAGTATGCAGTCCAATGGGCACTAGGCTTGAAGACTGTGGTGCTATGCCTGAAGTCATTATTCACGAGGTGGACAGTACATGTGCATACTTTCTTCATCTTCTTCTTTTTTTCTTTCTGGTATTCTCTCTCTCTCTCTCTCTCTCTCTCTCTCTCTCTCTCTCTCTCTCTCTCTCTCTCTTCTCCTCTGCCTCCTCCTGCTGCTGCTGCTCCTGATGCTCCTCGTCCTTGCACTATTATCTCTCCCCTGTGCTGAACACATGGACTATGTTGTGTTTGGTTCAGGTTCGCTGCTGGCGCGATGTCATCCAGGAGATATTGAAGAAGGAGATTAATCTGAGGCCTGTAAGTATCGTTGAGTGCTTGCATCATTTTTACTGTCTGCTACCAGACTGCGAGGCCGACTTACCGGTATTTATTTTGCCAGGGAGACAAGTGTTTAGCTTGCATCACGTGTCGATGTGGCAAAAGCAGCTATGATGTTCATCTTTCAGTGGCACAGACCTTCTGACATTTGGTTTCTCCGCTGTGGGATCACAAGGCAGCTCTGGTACTCTTCGTTCATTTCCATGTAGAGTGAAACCTGTCTAAGCCGACCATCTGAGGCACATTACAAATGCGATCCCGTGTACAGGTGGTCTTCGTATCCAGGGTTATTTGACCGGAATTGCCATCCCTTGGTTCTAGTTATAGTGGACCTCGGCTCTAGCACGGGTGATCACCTTATCAGATTTGTCACCTGCCCCAACCAGACGCCATTGGTGCAGCAGAAACTGTCCTGATATGACAGGATTCCGCTTGATCCAGGGATGCACGTATGATCCACAGCACGTCGGTGCATGAAACTTTGCCTGGTATACAGGATTCCGCTTGGTACAGAGTCCGGCAAACACAGGTGTTGTTTTTTTTTGCTGTACCTGCTTTTCCGGTGTGTGATCACAGGGCAGCTAATGGTATTCTGATTCACCTTATATTTCCATGTACCTTCTTGTCCATTGTGTGATGACAGACACAGCAGGTGAAGAGCTATGCGGCACTGCAGGCCAGCATGCTGGATCAGCTGCGACGCGGAAGTCTGGTCACGTCCTTGAGACACGTCGAGGTAGGCCGCTCCCGCCCGCTGGTAGTGCTCACACCGCACGAATGTAGTGCTGTGTGTGTGTGTGTTTGTGTGTGTGTGTGTGTGCGCGCTTGCAAGTTGTTGAATGGTGCAATCTGCTATGGCTTCTGCTGTAGCATCGCGATCATCGCCTCTGGCGATGGGCGTCCAATGGTCCAATGGTGTGTACAGGCACGGGACAATGATAAAGGTTCTGTAGCCGGACATTTTGAATTATGACGTTTCAAAGCCCGTCTGAGTACCCAGTGTTCTTGCCAAGGAGGGTGAGTGGCAGCGCCACCCTACTCTGATAGCCAATTTTGCAATTTTTGTGCTTTTTTCAGTTCACACAGTGAACATATCGCCACAAATAGATCGTACCGGGCGCTCTAGGCACCCGTACACTTGCATTTTGTGTGGAACATGGAAACCATGGTTGAACTGTTTGTTTACCTCCCCTCCCCGCACCCTACACTTTTGTCCTGGCTAGAACCCTGGTACCGGGGTAAGGTTTCAAGATGTGCCATCTCACGTAATCACTGTCTATCTGCTGCTGCTGCTGTTGTTGTACAGCCTGTCCCGCGGACTCCGCGAAAGAATATCCTGCGTGACATTCGGCAGGGCCTGAAGCTCAAGCCGGTAAGAGTCGCATGATCATCTATACAACAAGCAGCATCACAGCACTGCAGTTTGCAGTCAGTGAGCATGCATCGCCACTGTGTGAGCGCCGGAAATTATTCTTACGGGCATTCACACTCACAGTCCAATTTGTCTTAGGCCATCCGCACACTGCACCCCTGGAAGCTGATCTTATTCCCCTGTACATTGTAGTACCTGAGATAAAAGCTCAGGTGATCTCCTGTGCCGGGAATCATGTGTGACCTCGTTTCACTGCAAGCAACAACCTCCATCCTCTCAAGCTTCTTTTCTCGGCACATTCTAGGTGCTTGCAAGAGCCAACGGGCACATTCAGCCACACTATAAGCTGAGACTTATAACATTTCACTTTCCCCTGCACAGGCCGCTGAACGGATCCTCTCGGAGAAAGTGAAAAGCAGGACGGAGATGGAGACGCTGATGGACGAGATCAGCGAGACTAAGACGCGCGCTGGACTTCGCACTGTCCCGGACCAAGACAAACGCTACCGGGACAGGCCTGCGCCGGACTGTGAGTCATTGGCATGTCTAGATCTGCACGATTCGCGCCCTGTTAGTGCGTGGGTGTGCAGATCCGGCGGAACCTGTCCAGTTAGTCTGGCCATGGTCGGACCAACGTGTTTGGCCACTACAGTAGTGTCGGTCGCCGAAGAACTGCTGGGGTCAGCCTCCTAGCCTAGACCGTTCTTAGTTTTCTTGCATACAGTCTATGCACGGTTGAGTCACCGTGTATACATTGGTATGCTGTGCTTGGTGAAATTCTAGCCTGGTCATTCTTCGGCGCCCGCCAGTACTGTAATGCTGTTCACTGCTGGGGTGGTCACGTGTACCTGCCAAATCATACACAAATTATGAAATATGGTGTGGTGGGACCAATCCAAAACGCTCCCTACGGTCCAGGTGTATGAGTGTGAGTGTACCTTCTATGCATACTTTGCTATGTCCACCGTCCACAATGTTGCATAATCTGGGAGAGCGGTGGGTTTCTTCTCGAAATCTCTTTCTAGCATATGTCTTTATTAGTATTAGCATTGGGCGAATTTTACCGTTGCAGTAGTTAAACCAGCCTTCTGTGTGTGTGTGTGTGTGTGTGTGTGTGTGTGTGTGTGTGTGTGTGTACGTGTGTGTGTGTGTGTGTGTGTACGTGTACATGTGTGTGTGTATGTGTACGGGTACATGTACGTGTGTGTTGGTGTTTTTGTGTATGTTTGTGTGTGCACGTGCATGTATGCGCGTACGTGTGTGTACATGTATGTATACGTATGCAGCCACCACCGTTCTGTATCGGGCATTGCGCAGAGCTGAGATGGAGCGGCAGGTAGGGCGAGAAGAGAGTAAACACGAATCATAGTGATCTTGTTGAACAAGCCTCTTATACAGGCAATCACAGAGCATGGTATCACACTGGCCTGACATAACAACTAAAGAAAAAGCAAAACAAAACAAACGAAAATTTTAAATAAAAAGAAAATGAACTTGACAATCTGCACATAATGGCAACTCCATTCATTCATTCATTCATTCATTCATTCATTCCATGGTGATCTGGAGACACCGGTAGTACGCTCGTGTATGGAGTCTTCTTGACCTGCCACTTGTCTTGCTTTGGTAGCATGGCCAGGCTCTCGAATATGGGAAATCCACTTTGGCATGTACCTAGTAGCCCTACCCTAGTTGACATTGCTGCCCATTCACAACACAAACATGCCCAGGGTCGAATTTTATCGGAAACATGATTTTCATACACGTTTTCATCCAAAATCGAGGCCCACGTTTTAATTTTTCTGTCTCTCTCTCTCCTTTTCTCTCCTTTTCTCTCTCTCTCTCTCTCTCTCTCTCTCTCTCTCTCTCTCTCTCCTTCTCTCTCCTTTTCTCTCCTTTTCTCTCTCTCTCCTTCTCTCTCCTTTTCTCTCCTTTTCTCTCTCTCTCCTTTTCTCTCTCTCTCCTTTTCTCTCCTTTTCTCTCTCTCTCCTTTTCTCTCTCTCTCCTTTTCTCTCTCTCTCTCCTTCTCTCTCTCTCTCTCTCTCTCTCTCTCTCTCTCTCTCTCTCTCTCTCTCTCTCTCTCTCTCCCCTCCTTCTCTCTCTCTCTCCCTCTCTCTCTCTCTCTCTCTCTCTCTCTCTCTCTCTCTCTCTCTCTCTCATTACTTGTCTTGCTATGCACACAGCAGGACTATGGCGCCACGTCAGTGGACAATGATCGAGCTCACTTACGAGCACCAGGCCACCACCGTACACGCTCGTGTGGCATCAGCAAGCGCAAGCAGACCCCCAATCGCCGTCACCTACGCATCGCCCTGGAGAACAACCATGCCCATGCCCGCTCCTCATCGTTCACCAGCTCCCTCTCCTCCCCTAGATTGCTTCCCGACCACATCGACGGTGGCGACACACCGCCAATTCGAAGCGGCTCTTTCGTTGATTTCAAGGGCTTCTCGCCGCAAGGCGTTAAAAAGCCGGCGCTGAACCTGCCGGGTTCCACGTCATCGGGCACCGCAAGCAGTGGAGACACGCTAATCCCGATTGCCGCCGCCAGCAACCTGACGACAGTTCCGTCGCCATCCTGTCCACTGCTGACCAGCGAGGCGCAGGAGCTCATCAACGCCAAGCTCGAGCCCCTGGCACAGCCGGCCGGTGCTCCACCCGACGACGCGTCTTCGCAAGGGGAACAGCAGTCTGCAGTGCCAGATCAGCTTGCTCTCTTGTCGGACACAGCCCAGCAGCAACAACCGCTTCCACTACTATCGCCCAAAAACTCACCAGACCTAGACGAGCAGCTGGGTGGTAACGCTATGAAGTCGTTCACATCGGAATCTGCACCAATATCGAAGCGGCAGAGCATCACCGGCGTCCAGCTGACGGAGCTTGAGACCAACGGCGACGATTCGGTGTTTCAGTCGCGCCAACAGCTGTGGCGCCCTCGTCGCTCCGAGGTGGGCCTCAACTCGCTGCACCACTCGCCTCGTCCGGCGCTGCGACGAAGAGTAAGTTCGGGCTCTACCGCCTGTCCACGCCTACCCAGTCGCGAATTGACGTCCCGCCGGCCTAGTTCGCTACGACGCAGTGCTCGCCTGCAGTCCACGAGCAGTCACTCGCTGGAGAAGCCCAACGTGGAGAGCGTGACCAAAGCCCAGGCCCAGGACCTGTCGCTGAGCGAGACGCTCGCCCAGTCCGCCGACTTCCAGCCGCTACCCCTCCTCGCGACGGGTGACAGCACACCGGCGTTGCAGGGCGCCCGGTCCCACGGCAAGCAGCTGGTCGCGTCGTCACGACTCCTGACGCTCGACCAGCCGTTGCCGCTGGGCCACTACCGGCACCAGTTCTTGCACCTTCCGTCGGCGGCTGAGATGGGAGGTGGCGTGGCGCAAGACCAGCTATCCGTGGCCAGTACGGAAAGTGATCATCGTCTGTCGGTATTGGATGAACCGGACTGTCGCAAGGGAGATGAGTTGAGTGCTGACGAGATGCCTACGCCAACGTCACGCTCACGTACTCGCACGACATCCACCTCGCAATCGTCAGCCATGGTAAGCAGTAGATAATGTGAACGTGCGGTCAGCATTCAATCTTCTAGGCTTCTAGCCGGGGCGGGGCTGTTTCGTGCCATACAAGCCTTTTAATCCTGAAGTTTCTCTACCATTTGAATGTAGTGCTTGATTGCTTTTGATACTGTAAGAGTAATGCGAGACCCTTTGCCATGAGCACGGAAACGCCATATACCACAGGGTACTGCACATCAAGCTATGTGTGGCTGGCGAACCAACAGAAATCTGCTTTTAAAATTGAGAATGTTAGAAGATCTAACGTGGTATTATATAAGTTGAATAAAACCCAATACTAGTTCAATACAGTCAGTATCGCCTATAGCGTTGGTGTTTGATTTTGAGCATTTTATCACTACAAGCGATATATCACTATGACCGATACTGCATGCAATGTATGCGAGTGGGGTGTCAAACGACTCAGGGCGCCGTGCACATACGCACTGCATGGGTGGCTACAGCTCATGTCACACAGCATCAGCATTTCCTCACGATGGAGGCATATTTGGCAACTTGTACAAGCAGAACTCACCAAACAACACTGGACAAGTTAGTTCTTCACGAAGAAGTAACACCCTGTTTTCCTCTGACACCACTTGATTTTACATCAATCACTATAATCGATGCAAAAATAATGTAATAAATGTCTTTTGAAATAAGAATTTGATCACTATAGGCGATATATTACTATAGACGATTATTACTATACGCGATAACTGTGTATACTTAGTTATGGCAAATGAAAATGAATTTGAGAAATTGATCACTATATCCGGTATATTACTATAGCCGCCAACCTTATAGGCGATACGTACTGTACTAGTATTAGATAAACCTTGTTGTAGTTCACACATGTTGTCAAACTAACAACATGCAAGATCTAACATGCATCAGCACCCATACTGGCATGAAGTGGCTGTACATGCCAAGCAGTCAACGTCCTGTTTAGCGAATCGGCTTGTCACGATTCCCTCGTAATTGTGAGTTTCGCAAACCTTTTCGTTAGGATGCATGACTTTGTTCTTCCCTTGCTGTTTTACTTCGCACAGCCGTTGCTGATGACTGGCGGTCTCAGCTACAAGGAGATAGTCAATATTCGAACCAAGCAGACGGATGCTGAAATCGAGGCGCAGGATGACACCGGCACTAAGATCAAGCTGCGCAACGGAAAGGTGAGTCAACGCCACACATGGACACCACCTGTGACTAACTTCCCTTCCCTGCCTATGCAAGTGTCTCGTCTATTGGTGATTCATTACGCCACATTCCAGATTTAATTCAATGGAAACTCAGTATCTCTTTGTCGACAGCCAGTTCATCTTGTATGTAGATTTGTCTTCAAGACTTTGTAGACATTGCCTCCTTCCTTAGCTTCTTTTTGTCTTGGTTGTTGCAGCAAACTCTTTTTTTGTGTTGTGTTCTGGTTGTCGTGCCTCGGCAGGTTTGCTTTGTGTGTAAGAAGAAGCGCTTCACTTTCTTCAGCCTCATTGGTGCACGCACATGCATCCTCTGTGGAAGGTAAGATACGATTTCTGTACTAATTGCTCGCAGACCCAACATGCTGTGGACCTACCGCTGATTTTGCTGAAGAGAGAGCACATTCAAGATGTGACCACTATACTCCAGCTGACATGGTACATTGAGAAAACACAATCCTCAGGTATTTGCCAGAGGCGTTGGAAAGTATCCGACATTGGTGCGGCCATATAAAGAGGTGCGGGGCCGTACCCCGGGAATTTCCATGGAAAATTGGGCCCAAATAGCCCATATTTTAGGGCTTTAAAAATCACAAGGTGAGGTTTTTGATGCGGGTTTGGCCGCCCCTGTTTGCTGCACTGCTTTTCTGCTCTCTCTCTCTCCTCTCTCTCTCTCTCTCTCTCTCTCTCTCTCTCTCTCTCTCTCTCTCTCTCCTCTCCCTCTCTTCTTCCATGATGCACTCATATTTGCCCATGATATGTCTTATTTCTGCATTCAGGAAAGTCTGCCAAGAATGCACCACAAAGGTACGTGTGACTTGGTGATCATTCCCTTTCAAAGCTCTCTTTATTTTGCTCTCAAAGCTCTGGAAGCCCGCTCTTTTTTTCCAGTGGGTGCGTGTACGTGTGTGCGTGTTTCTTTCCTTGTCACATGCCATGGCAAGACCGTCTGTGATAGATCAACTCTTCTACAGTCGGGCTCAGTCGGCTCACTCATGTACGCAAACACTGGGCTGCGAAATGGTGCACGTCACAAACTTGAGTGACGCAACTGGATATCATTGAGCCGGACAGTATAATAGGCCCAGGGTGTGATGGAATTGTCCCTGCATTTCCGTTTGTATCCTGCAGATGGTTCTTCTCGACGTGGACTTCACCGACTCGATTGTGTCTGACCTGGAAGCGCTGTCCCCGATCGAAGCCTGCTTCGGCTGTCGTATATCACTGCTCGACATTCAAACTAGTTACAGAGCACCGGACGAGTGGTCCGTGTGCGACTGAAAACGGGCGCCCCAACCGTCCGTCCACATGTAGTGCAGTACAGTGGCCCCACCTCTGCATGAGCCATGACTGGATCAGCTGCACTCAATGTTCCCTGCAAGCGCGCAGCCGACCATACAGCCAAGCCACCTGTGCACCTACTCTGTGCACTAGTGTAGACCTGCCATCTGGCCTCGGCTCAGTCTCCACGAGGACACCACCGTCACGTGGACAGATTCGCGGGTACCGTACCCGTTCTACAAATTTCTATTTACCTATCGCACAGTGCAGTCAGCATGCACGCAGGACGGCTTATTGCAAGTACGACCAGTGCTGCTGCTGCTGCTGCTGCTGCTGGTGATGGTGTCTCTGCTATGCGCAGACCCCTCATTACATGGTTGAGTAGCACCATATTAGGATATAACAGCTGTATTGTATTAGTAGTAGCAGCTGCGCCCCCACACGACAACGACAACAATGACAAGACGCCAGTCGACGCTGATGACGGCATCCACCACCGTCGCTACGTGTACATGCACGTCAGTAGCCTGTCACGGCGTCACGACAATCACAACAAAGTGAGTAGCAGCAGTGACTACGCCTTGACCCCTGACACTATACTATTAGCAACGGCAGCAACGGCCACCAGGCAAGCAAACAGCTTTGCTGTCTCGCCCCCTCCCACCCCTGCTCATTTCCATTGACTACCACCCCCGTCTTATCCCCCGTGTAGCCCTTCTTATTTACGTTTTTATCATGAAAATATCTCGTCTGCCTTGGGAAAAGGAAAGCGGTGTATTCCGTGACGTTTTTTCATCGTCTATTATTATTTTTTGTACTGTTCAAATATTATCTTGAGGGCGCTATTTAAGTGGTCCCCAATTCTTCCTAGCACTTCTTATGATGAAAATGTTTCTATTATTATTTATTTTCTGACTCTTACTCTCTTTTCTATATGTTCTATATTGCTCCGTGGACCCGGCTTGATCGGTGACGGTGACACGGGAAACTGCTTAGAAAAATATATTTATAAAAAAAGGAAGAAAAACAGAACCAAGTACATGTGACAACTTTCTAGACAACGAAATTCCAACCTGTGTGCTTCCTGAGATGAGCTAATGTTGAACAATTCGAATAAAAAAAACGTTACTGTCAATAAAGATAAATTGGTGTACCGTTGTTCTACAAATCATATACCAGCTGGCTATGGCATTCTTAGCAAAGGTGACATGGGTGGGCGAGGCGTTCGTATTTAGATAGACATTATTTACAACATGCTTCTCCGTGTTGGCATCGCCCAACAAGCTCGCTTTGGCTGGACTTAGCAAAGCTGCTGCTATGTGGCAACAGAACTAAGCAAAATAATTATTAGCAAGGTGCCAGGAGAGATGGTATAGTGAACAGGGCAGCACAAAACCCTGACAACAATATCATTTGCAAGCATATTGCAATGAAAAATGCAGTCACAGGCTGGAATCGGACAACAGGAACCTATAAAATTAGCATTGTCATGAGATGTTGCTGTTGGTAGCAAGCATTTCGCAAGAAGGTTGCACACCGCTGTACGTGTACGCTCCTTGTGCAGCCTCTCAGCACGCTCATTCACCTGCATGCGCGTCACTGCCCACCCAGGTGATTTTTCGGCTCTTGGCAGGCAAAATTCTGCGTTACGTTGAAAAATAATTGCAAAAAAAAGATTTTCTTTCTGCCGTACCAATATCGTCTAAAAAGCTGGTTCAAAGTTGAAATTTGTCAAGAGAAAATACTAAATAGAGAGAACGATACAAGAGAAGGTCACTCTTCTGCTTCGTTGTAGAAAGCAGAGTCAGCCAGTACCAGGCGGAGAATGTCCGGGTAAAGGTGCTCGTTGCCGGTGCCCAGGATAGCGTTGATCTTCTCCTCGTACTCGCTGCCAAACACTGTGTTGTCGTCGGCCTGATCCTGTTGCGACTGTGGAAACAAGTGCACACATGTCACGTACACATGCATGCACATGCCACGCACAAGCACGCATTGAATTTCTTTTCATCTACTTTGGTATGCCGATAGCCGCAGATGGCAACACCAGAAAGCCGTTACTTCCAGTACAGTCGTGGCCAAAGAAATCCGACCCGCGAGTCAAAAGTAGTGCCGCGTTTCCATTTTCAATTACATCGTGCACATTCCAAAAACCGATCCGAGGGCCGCAGGGGCTGCATGAGCCTTGGCATTGCTTTTGGCACATGGCTCGGATTTCTTTGGCCATGACTGTACAGTAGTAACATTAGTTTGGAAGCTACCACACTGTGTAGGCTGACTGAGGAAAGTACGGAACCAAGCAAAGAATACGAGAGTACAGTAAAGAAGTGAAGCATGCTTTGATCGCCTCATGTAGGCCCTGCTAGATGCAATGAGATTGGTCGTTTCCGTGCCTACAGTCATGTGACATGTCAGAGGAATCCTCCAGGCTCACCTGAATAAAGTCATAGGCTTCTGCCAGGATGTCACAGCCGAGGTCCTCTTCCAGCTGTAGGCGTCTCTCTTCCAGCTGGCTGAACAGGCTGTTGGGCCCGTCGCCGACCTCGTCGTCGTCCTCGTCGTCGGAGCTGGACTCCAGCAGGTCAGCCAGGTCCTCGTCCTCTTCACCATCGTACTCGCCCTCACTGTCCTCGGCCTCACCAGTGCCTGTACAACGCCACCATTGTGCACTGTGTAAGCCACACTGGAGTATATGCAGCACCCCCCCCCCCCCCCCCCTTGCCACGATGTACAGGCATTACTATACCCTAATTATCCTCGTTAATTTGATCATCGGAGTATAAGACGCAACCCCCTTTTTTTGGGTGAGTTTTGAGTGTTCAAAGTGCGGCTTATACTCCGGAAATACGGTAATCTCTTTAATGAGTCCCGCAGCTGGATCACACCTGGCACTACAGCACAGCGGCGGGCCAATCAAACACCAAGTCACACAGAGTTGTCGCCGGGTACAGTGCCGCACTTTCCGTACAGCGTTAGCACACGTACTCGCCAGGCTGCAGTGCATGTGGCGCTGAGGCGCTGCACACGCACACCACCATTTCTCGCAGTATATGTTCTCTTTGCAAGAGTGAAGAGTTCACGTCGCTTACACAAACATTGCTAGCGCTGCTAATACAACCTATAGTCAGCCAACAAAGTAGGAACTGAGCAAAAAAAAAAGATTCAAGAAAGCTCATGGGCTTGCACACTGATATAGTTGTGTGCGACCTTTACCCGGGCTTAAGCGAGATTCTACAGTAGTCAAACGGCTGATATCTGAATACCACCAGTCCACCACCAGTCCACCACCAGCACTCCACCAGCACTCCACCAGTCCACCACCAGTCCACCACCAGTCCACCACCAGTCCACCACCAGTCCACCACCAGCACTCCACCAGTCCACCACCAGTCCACCACCAGTCCACCACCAGTCCACCACCAGTCCACCACCAGTCCACCACCAGCACTCCACCAGTCCACCACCAGTCCACCACCAGTCCACCACCAGTCCACCACCAGTCCACCACCAGTCCACCACCAGCACTCCACCAGTCCACCACCAGTCCACCACCAGTCCACCACCAGTCCACCACCAGTCCACCACCAGTCCACCACCAGCACTCCACCAGTCCACCACCAGTCCACCACCAGTCCACCACCAGTCCACCACCAGCACTCCACAATGTGCTCTTGACTGAGCTAGCACAAACGCCTCACCTTCCTGCCATTCCTGAGATCCTTCCGCTGCCAAGTCGCCGTTTTCATCCGCATCCTCATCATCATCAGCACGCGAGTCAAACAACCTGCGTGATGAGCGGCCTGAACGAGAAACAACAGTTACCAGTATGACCCTGCACCCAATATGGCACTGTAGTGTCTTGTACACTGAGCCTGTCTCGTACAAGTACAGAAACCGGCTACAAGCCTGATTCGACAGCTGGACATTCGGGTCATATGCCTGGTTGTGTGTTGACTTGGATGGAATCACTTCAGTGGGTCAACAGCTTAGCCTTTATGGTGGGTGCATGGGTGCATGTGTGAGAAAGAAGAGGGGGTGAGCATGTTCTACTCCAGGCGCGTAGTTTGTGTATAGTTAGCGTTGTCCGGACACCAGACTAGCAAATGACCGTCATGTGTACTACACTAGTGGAAATACTGTAGTGTCGTGTATAAAAGCATGACCTGTATAGAAGCATGACCTGTATAGAAGCATGACTCGAATAGAAGCCGATTTTTCGAAGCTCGCCGTGACACAGAAGCATGATTTGAATAGAAGCCACTCTCTGCAAAGTGCATGTGTAAGTACATACGTGGCAGTATGCACTGCACAGTATGCACTGCACAGTATGCACTGCACAGTATGCACTGCACAGTATGCACTGCACAGTATGGACTGCACAGTGTGGACTGCACAGTATGCACTGCACAGTGTGGACTGCACAGTATGCACTGCACAGTGTGGACTGCACAGTACCTGCGTGGCAGTATACATTGCACAGTATGGACTGATGATGTTGACATAGAAGCATGTTTCGAATAGAAGCATGGTTTGAACCCCGGCTTTTACGCCCGTAAGCACCTGCTTTTATACGCGACGTTAGGGTAGGCAACATTTTGAAGTGGCAGCTAACTTATAAGGTTGCCCACGGTACATGGTCACCACACCACGGATGTGCGAGCTACGCCCCTGTCAGAGCCTGTATGGGGCCGTGCACTCACCACTGCTGGCTGCAAGAAGAGCATGCATAGACTGCAGCATTTCCTTCATCTCATCGCCGTCCTCCTCCGTGCCACCACTGCACGGTCATACAACACACCATCGACACAGCACACCACACAGAACATCCATAAAGCAACATTCCCAGGCTCAAGGTCACTACAGTTGGACAATTATTTTGCAAACAAATTGCAGACTGACTGCATAAACTTATGTAAAGTATGCTGTATTCAGTGCTATGTGTGCAGCTCAGGCAGTGCACAGCATCAAACCTGAGAGCTATACTCTATGCCACATGTCATGCTATAAGTGAAGTTTCCTCAATTGTAGAAGAACAAAAAAGTACCTAGGAACTACACGTTACGCTATACTGTCCACTAACACCACTGGTTACTAAACAATCAGCTCATGTGATAATGGTGTACTAGCTGTGCTAGTACTTGTTAGCAACAATCCGAACTAGCGCACACACTGCACTGCATTGCTTTGTACTGCATTCAAGACTGACGTCATGCGCTTTGTTTTGCTGCGTAATCACAAATGGCACCAGCCCATTTTGCGGAAAAGAAAAAAACAAATCTTGCTTGCCCTGTTGTGCTCTTCCAGACAACGGATCGTGCTTCATACCTCTTTGTTGACTTGTTTGTGTGAGGGATGGGGCTAACATTGCACGACACTGACCGACGGTACTGACGTTCTACAATTAACTGGCCAACAGCTCTAGCAAATCTTGGATGCACATTCCAACAGCCTTCCAACTTGGAAGGTTCTAAGTTATAGAAATAACATAAGGAGGGAAGGTGACCTCAACCACGATAAGCACGAGCTGAAAGTCTCAGCTGTGAAGGACGTTGGCGGATGTTCATGCATGTCGATGACGATACTGGCAAGACCATTGGACAGTACGGTCAAACCACGAGTCAAGGACGCAAAGCAACATTCCACACAACTTGTGTGGCTCAAAAGATGCGAAGATCAATAAAAGAGGAAGCTATGCGAACAAGAATCATGAAAAACCGAACGCCTCAGTAAAACCGCACTGTACTTAGACTATGACAATTTAGATGGACAATAATGGTCTTGCCAGAATCGTCATCAACATGCATGAACCGGCATCCGCCAACATCCTTCACAGCTGAGACTTTCAGCTCGTGCTTATCTTGGTTGCACTTACACTTCCCCTCCTTATGTTATTTCTATAACTTAGAACCTTCCAAGTTGGAAGGCTGTTGGAGTGTGCATCCAAGATGCGCTAGAGCTGTTACAGGGGCGTAGCAGCCGCTCCGGCCGGTCCGGCTTTGGCCGGACCACTTTTTCGCCCGACCACGACCACCATAGTAAAACAATGCCAAAAGTGCCGATTTTGCACCCTAATTTCAAAAAATTACGGGGGCAGATCTCCCGAACCCCCCACCCCCGGCCGGACCACCGCCAACGGCGGTGCTACGTGCCTGTGTTAGCCAGTTAGTTGTAAAACGTCAGTACCGTCGGTCAGTGTCGTGCAATGTTATTGCAAGAGCTGATTGTTTAGTAACTGGTGGTGTTAGTGGACAGTATAGCGTATCGTGTAGTTCCTGGGTCCATTTTTGTTCTTCTATTAATCCTCGGCTCTCCATCCGAGTCTTTTCCTAAATTGCATGTGCATATACAAATATGTGCATTTACAGCATCATATCTGACCTGGGGGATGCAGAGTCTCTCAGTAGTGCCGCGCCGCTGGAATCACCGTCAACGTACGCAACATCGAGATCTTCAAGTGTGAGTTCATCGCCAGCATTCTCCGTGTCGACGACGGGCTCATCGCGAGGACCATCGTGCTCATCACCACCACCATCACCAGATTCCAGCTGCTCACCAGCATTGCCGCTGTCGTCATCATCTCCTTCCTGATCGCTGGTCTCTTCTTCCTCGGCATCGTCATCATCATCTCTACCCGCGTCTCTAAGATCGGGCAGAGAGCAGGTCCTCAGGAACTACGCAGTGAACGAGAACGCACAACAGATGAAAGTTACCATGGTAAAAGAAGATGGTGGATGCCAGTAGAGTAACATGGCCATAGAGCTTAGTGCTGCACAGCATATGCAACGGAGGATGATGCATGCCAATACACTGAAATGGCCATAGACATGATAGAGCATAGTGCTGCACAGCAGATGTAACGGATGATGATGCATGCCAATACACTGAAATGGCCATAGACATGATAGAACACGGTAATGAACAATATAACTCAGCACAAAGCCCAGATTACAGTTCACTTCGTGCATGGGGAACACTTCGCAATGCATATGGTGACGGTCACACGATGGGGCAAACAAGGTTGAACAGCGTTTTTATCGCGACGGGCGTGATGCATTTCCTGCACACGAAATTATGTTTAAGCCGGGCTCTATGCAATGTGAAAACACAATAATAGAAAAGCTGACAGGATCGCTTTTCTAAATACAACAGCAGCCTTGCTAGTCCTTACCCGCTTTCTCGTGTCGAATGCTCCAAACGTCATCGCCAAGGCAACCTCAGAGTTACTAGATGACAGTCTGGACACGCAGAACAGGAAGAGGGAGACATCAGCGGCGATTGAGTTTACCCTGTCACATGGGTGGCTACAATATTCTTCAGTGTACTAGTAGTGAAACTTCAGTATAACATACCTCCAAGGGACATCCACTGTGTACTTTATAACTAAGGTACTGTATATCCAAGGCCAGATGACAGGATAAGGATACAGTCCTCACAAAAAGTACTTTCTATCCAATGTAAAGATATACAGTACGTAGCAGCAAGAGTACATAACCCAAGAGTGTGCAACTCCAGCTATGGGGTCTGCGACGGCAGAACTTCACATCACGTGATGAACCCGTACACATTATTTGCACCGTCTGTGCATGATTGATACAGGGCTGTACGCAGCCCAGCTTTGGGTACAACTCTCTTGCGGTCACTTTGCACTGTTCAGTGTTTGCCTGTGTAACCTTTTGAACCATGTCACGTGATGTGAAGTTCTGCCGTGAGTGCCGTCGCAGCACAGCATAGAGGTTGTGCAGGGAGTTGCACACTCTTGGGGGTTATGTACTCTTGGTAGCATCCAGTGTACTTTATACTGAAGGTTCATTCTGTGCTGGCATGCAAATACAGCGCTGCTCAATGAAATCCAGTCGGCGCACTCGTGTACGCGCCGGGCATTGCGCAGCCCTAGATCTGCGAACGGTGGGCTACGAAATGGTGCAAGGCGCAAACTTGAGTGCCGCGACTGGATTTCATTGAGCAGCACTGTTCATGTGCATTGAAGTCTGCAAGACGCTGCACAGAACCTTACTGCACGCGTCCTGCTGGCCTCGGATGATCATAGCAAGGTTACATACGGCATGGGTCCAGATGGCTAAAAGAAAGCGTGATTTCATGCAATGTGTGCAATCAGGTGCAGGTATAAACTGTTGCTAAGTTTATAATGTACAGTCCCGCTCAATGAAATCCGATCGCTGGAGTCAAGTTTGCGCCGTGCACCATTTCGCAGCCCAGTGTTTGCAAGTCTAGGGCTGCACAACACCTGGCGGGTACCCGAGTGACTCGATTGGATTTAATTAAGCAGTCCTGTACATACTTCTTCTCCATCTCCGCTGCTTTGCTTTCTCCGTCATCATCCTCGTCTACGTTCCTGCCGGCTGCTGCATCATCCGCAGCTGTTTGTGTCACCTCGGCAGGTGCCACGTCGGACACACCCTCGTCTTCCTCGATGTCCTCCACACTTGCCAGTTGAGCAAGGCTGCCCGGTGCAGTGTCTATGGTGCTGTACGATGAGACACTCGACGTCGGCGAGCCGCACTCGACACGCGTGCTGCTGAACGATGCCACCGACTCTGCGGCATCGCTGAGTGCGGCGTGAGGCTTGCCTGCACACCAAAGGTAGCCAGCAAAAACAATTCACGGTTTGTTCTTCTTCAGTGCAACAGAATTGTAAGTACCCTCTGGCTAGTACAAATGTACAGAGCTGCACTCACATGACAGAGCAACACTTCATGACCACTCACCATGTCAAGACCTGGAAGAAAACTTCACAACACATGTTCTATTCCCAGTGCCTTGCACTACAGCACAAATACATGTACTCACAACACGCTCACTTGGCACTGGTTCTGAGTGGTTGGGAATAGTTCACTATAGTCAGTGTACATGGTGTGGTATGCATGGCTCACATTTGTACAAAGGTGACATACAGTCAACTTCGCTTATAACGACTGCGAATATACCGACAATTCGCGAATAACACAGAATTTCCATGCCCGAGCAAAGTCCCATCCAACTGTAATACATATAATGAGACTTCGGGTATAACGACACTTCGCGAATGAGGACACTTTTCTGATGCCCCGCCGAGTGTCGTTATAAGCGAAGTTGACTGTACACCAGTGACTCTAAGCACCCTGAGGGCAAATGCAGCCAACACGAAGCATAAGGCAAATGCAGCCAACATGAAGCATAAGGCTAATCCAGCCAACATGAATCAAATGTCCGTGTAGAGTACCTGCTTTGCTGAACATGGGCCGCGGTGACGATATCGGCAGATCGCTGCTCTTAAAGGCAGCCGGCGAGACCTCGTCCTCGGGTGCGTCGCTCGGCTCGCTGCTGGCTTTGTCAAGCTTTGTCTCCGCTTCCTCCACCTGCACCTGCCCGTCGTCGTCATTGCTAGATCTCTTGGCCAGTTCGGGGAGGCTGGGAGCATCGGCCGCACCCAGCACCTGGGCAACATTCACGGGACCAGATGACCTAGCGTTGGCCGCACTGCGGGTGACCGCGTCGGCAGCAACCATGGCCCCCACTTCTCTCTCTAGCGTCTGGGTGGTGCTCAGCGCACTGGTGCCGGTGCCATCGGCATCCTTGACGACGACGTTCTCGAGCGGTTTTACGTCCAATGAGATCTCCTCTATGTCATCCTCCGCACCACTGTCGCCGGCTGTGGTAGACGAGGTGTTGTCGACATTTGCACTCATAACCAGTGGAGCTGAAGATGGTGGTTGTGACGCTGCGGCTGTCGTGCCGCCAACCTGTTGTTTGCTACTCGCGGACACTGCTGGTTCCGCAGCAGGTGCGGGCACTTCTTTGGGAGTTCCTCCGTCGGGTTGATCGCCGACCTGGACTCCGGTGCTGGTTGTGATTCCGCTGACGGTCTGCGTGGCAATCTCAGACACGCTGGCCCCTTGCATAGCCGCCAGGACGGTGTCACCGGGACTCTTCCATCGTCGCCGCTGAGCATCCTCGTCTTCCACTTTGCCACCAGGCACAGCTGCCGCTGCTGCCGCCACCTTAGCATCCACCTTGGCAGCCGTCTCCAAGATTCCGGTTTCCATGACGCCGGTTGGCATGCCGATCGCAGTTTCAAGCGGAAGCTCCGCCGGTATCGCCGCTTTCTGACCCCACTGACGTCGGCCTGGCATACACAGGATAAAGGAAACATGCAAGATAGCGTTAATAGAACTGAACAACTTTTCCAATAGCTTTTAAAACATAACTCTCTGTTACACTGGAGTGTCACTCCGCCGACCTCAGGTCGGCGGAGATAACTTACTCCAGTTTCACCACCACAGCTGCCAGCTGCGACTGCAGCAACCTCTACCATGCAGCATTCTGTTATTGAGGTTTGTGGTTTCTTGGTAAAAAACTACTTAAGTAGTTGCAAACTATGGCTAAGCAAACAGATCTGAAAAAAGGATATTGGGAACCTGGCACACAGCAAGGTGAATACAAGAAAGCACCTCATCGCTAGTGTTCCGTGCATCAATACACTACGACTATCATGGTTACTGGTTTTACAACCGCCGCGTCGGAACTCACTCACCTTCATTTTTCTGATCTTGAGCTGATGCAGCACTCTTGATAGGCTGTAACAGAAGAAAGAGAGAGAGAGAGAGAGAGAGAGAGAGAGAGAGAGAGAGAGAGAAGAGAGAGAGAGAGAGAGAGAGAGAGAGAGAGAGAGAGAGAGAGAGAGAGAGAGAGAGAGAGAGAGAGAGAGAGAGAGAGAGAGAGAGAGAGAGAGAGAGAGATGGCACACCAGCACGAGGCTTAGTTCTATGCAGATAAGCTGTGCTTGTGTTTGGCAAGAAAGAAGATGAGCGCAGCAGTGCTGGAGCAGCTTGCTTGCTCTCAGTTCAGAAAGGACAGTGACACAAGGACAGTGACATAATGTTTATGTTACTTGAAGTACTCAAAGCAGCGAGTACACGGCGGCATGGTGGTGTCAGTACCTTAGCCGGGGCAAGGCCGACATTGGCGAGAGCAGTGTCCAGACCAGGGGTGGCAGCGGCGGCAACAACCGGCTTCCCTGCTGAGAAAGAAAACAACAACAACAAAAACGACAACAACAACAACAACAAAAACAACAACAACAACAACAACAACAACAAAAACAACAACAACAACAACAAAAACAACAACAACAACAAAAACAACCAAGGGACAACCTCTTCGGACTGCCCTTCTTGTTGCCGTCCACCTGTCCGAGAGCCTCTAGATTTACGGACAAGACAACCAATGCAGGAATTGTAGCAGATGTGAAAATACTCAGACACATTGCATATGTGGAGTACCAAACCGCGACCAAAAAAACATGATGGTATCGTTACTGCCTTCGTAGCACCATGTGTTTGTTTAGTGACACGCATTACGTCCGCGCAACTCACCTTGAGCCGAGCCCGCTGGCTTGGCAGGAGCCTTTCCTCCAACACTGCGCCTACACAAGCACAACGCGTATTACAAACCATTGATCGGAGTAAGATACAGCATAGGACCCGGGAATGTTAATAATTATGACTTCATTAGATAGTTCATTAAAACAAGGGGAAGGGAACTAACTTAGCTATGGCTAGGCAAATAGATCACAAGGAAGATATTTGAGCACTTCACCCTTCATTCCCAGAGGGCTAGGTAAGGACAGCAGCATATTCTGGCCTAGACATTCTGGGGATTACAGCCCCTTGAAAGTAGTTCCGAGAAGTGAGACGACAAGAGCACCACGCCAGGGTTGCTGCCCGACATCAAGTCCAGTGCAATAGTACACCTAGAGGTATATTACTACACCAACAGGATACACTTGGCTAAGAACTCGCAGACTCCATTGCAGCCACTCATACATAATTAGGGTACCTCAACTTGAACTTTCCAAATATGGTCTCTTCGCTGCATACGTCACTTCAAAATAGATATTTAAAAAATTTAAATTTTGGTGAGTTCAATTATTTATTTATTTCGAAGTGACGTATGCAGCGAAGAGACTGTATTTTGAAAGTTTAAGTTGAGGTACCCTAGTTACTATACCGCCCGATTAATTCCTAAGCTGAACACTCACGGTCGCTCTTGCCGTGCGTTGCCCTGGCCGGCAGCTGAACTCGGTGGCTTCTGCTGCTTTGCCGCCGCCTGATCCTGCCAGCAGGCATTCAACAACACAGTGGTTTACAGAACAGAGAAAAAATATCAAGATCTGCATCATTATCAAGGTGGCGAAAGCCATGGCCATTGCATTGGGTACGGTCGCATGCCTGGATTCCTGTATCCTTAAAGTAGTGCTATTATGATGTCAATGGCGCAACGCATGGCAGTTATGACTGTAATCGAATTCCTTTGTAATTCATTCATCATTCATTCTGCTTTGCGGCCTGGTCCAGGCGGACATTCAACGACACAGCGAGTTGAAGAACAGATGTAAGAACAAGGTCACTATCAAGTTCAGCCCTCACCATCGTATACACGGATTTCAAAAGCGTCGACCCTCCATGAAAACATGGTGGCGGGCCGCGCTACCCGTAAGCGCACGTGACCCCCCCCCCCCCCCCCCCGCGTATCTTGGCGCGAGCTTCGAGCTAAAGATCATGTCGCGCACTCATTTTCCTGTGTTTCCCCATTTCTTCGAACTCGCTCAGCTTTTGCTTCGTCTCCACGCTGTAGTCTGAGTTTAGTTCCCTTGTCTTCTTCCAGCAGAATACTGCAAACTCCACAGCGCGTCGAGCTTCTCCTAGAAGAGTTTCTTTTGCGTCGAGACAAACTGTCGATCGTTTCAGGCCTATATTGCCGTTGCCTCACGAGCGCCCGAATGCAACAGCATCTACATTCTTTTCTTTCCATTTTCTGGCGAACTCATTCACCTACTGCTTCTTCCTTTATGAAAGCTTCAGGTGGTTGAGTTCTCCCACTTGCGACAATCATGCCTTGGAAAAGAACAGGATATTACTAAGGTATGTACAGCCAGTGCAGTGATGACAGTGTACTGCACTGCAAAAAGCACCTGCATGCACTGGGCCTAGTTGTTGTTTGTTTTGTCGAGAAAGAATCCCTTTGATCCCTTTCGCACTCGCACGGGCCGCGAGGGCGCAGCACGGAAACTGGTCTATTGAATTCATTTCTTGGTCGATTTTGACAACCGATACGTCGTTGTTTTTCTTTTTTTCAATGGCTTTCCTTTCTCCGCTTCCGAATTGCGATGCCGTCCACCTGGGAAGCCCTGAAGTGAAACGAGTGGAAGCCGGTTTCGGAGTTAATTTTCGGCCAAACAGCAATCCAATCGAAAAATTTGAAGCGGACGATCTGTTGGTATCTATCGAAAAGAAAACTACACCGAATGAACTAAGGAATTACGGTAAGTTTAAGAATTTTGGTACAATAGCTGTACGCTGATTGGTCGATTAGCGCGACCGTTGACAAACGGGCCAGTGACGTTTTGTACAGCGTTGGTGAGGGCTGAAGTTGGCAAAAAAAACTGCGGGTCTTTCCACTAGGTGCTGTTTAATGCCTACATTCATGTATCGATACAAGGTAAGTACGATGTAATTCATGATGTCATTCATGACATCACCACAACCTGCCAGTATGTAGGCTATGAACGGTACGAATCCTATGATGCAGCCGTGCACTGCAGCACTGCATGTGACATGTAATGATGTAACCATGGTAACCTACAGCTGTTGCCTTGGGATGTCTGCTGAGCTCTTCCGCATGCTTTGCCTGCGCTTGCTCAACCCTCTGCTTAGCCTTGGCAAGTTGCTCTGACTGAACGTGAGCCTGCGCCTGTATCGGATCAAACCGTGCACACAGACACACACAGGCACACACAGGCACACACACACACACACACACACACACACACACACACACACACACACACACACACACACCTCAGACATGCCCATCGCAGAAGCGATGATAGCGAACAGCTATGTTAGACATAGCAACTTGTGCTGGGATTACACCATTCAACAGCTTGCAAGGCTGATGAATTGACCACCACTAATTTTTAGCCTGGTATCCACCACACAGCTGATTGAAGTGGCTTTTTCTGGCCAGTGAATCCCTATTTTCCATTTTTCATTTTTTTACACACACACGCCACACCACATACTCCGGCATACAGTGGCTGTTGGTAACCACCCAGAAGAATGAAAGAAGAGCTAGGAGAATGAGAAAGAGAAAAAAAGACGTGTGCGACCATAATCGTCGGGAATTGAACCCGCAACCTCTCGATTGGAAATCGACTGCACATACCACTGCACCATATGGGACACACATGCACACACATGCACACACATGCACACACACACACACACACACACACACACACACACACACACACACACACACACACACACACACACACACACACACACACACACACACACACACACACACACACACACACACACACACACACACACACACACACACAGATATTCGTTCACTCTCTACAACAGCGAAATTTAGTATTGCTGTTCGTCGGTATCATTCGCAATCTATGTTTTCTTTGAAAGGTATTCCTGACTTTTGTGTCTAGGCTAACCACATCTATGATAGTTTCAATAGTTTGTGTATATGTCAGTTATAGTAGTCCGCAATGCTGCTTTTCTAATTCTCATTATGATTAGCATGCAATGTACTACCCGAAGTACTGAATTTACTTCTTCTGTACTCTATATTCTAATGTATCTTCTACCTCTTCTCCCTTACGAACATACTTTCTCATTTTCCATACTTATATAGGAGGCTCCCTTCGATAGGCATCTATTTGCCTCTGGAGGATCCGTGAAATAAAAATCAATCAATCAATCAAAAATCAAAAACACACACATGCACACACATGCACACACATGCACACACATGCACACACATGCACACACACACGCACACACACGCACGCATGCACGCACGCACGCACGCACGCACACACACATATGCCAGCTACTCTAAGTGCACTATGCGCTGGACACAGGCAAGCAAAGTCATTGCACCAGTACCATCCGCAACTGGTCTTGTATATGTGGCCACACAAAACAACCATAGTGACAAAGCAACTTGATGACGGAAGGAGAAGAAAGGCTCTGTCGACAGCAGTTGTATGTCGGACCTCACCTTCAACTCAGCTATCTTCTTCAACCTATCATCCTCATTGCCATCCTGTACACAGCATATCAGCAATACACAGAAGGCCAGTGCATGTTGTGGAACATGTCTTACATTACAAGATCATACTATAAAGCAGTGATAAAGCCAGGGGGGGGGGGGGGGGGGTTGTGGGGGCCCAAAATATTCTGATGACACATCCCTAATGAAACTGCGCTCTGCCCCTAGTCATTTTTTCTTTTCAACTTTCGTGTTTTCAAAATGGTATTAGATAACCCAAGGGAAATGTGTTCACAAATCGATCGTTCTGTGTACGCACTGCACTCGTACGTTGCATGTTGTGCGACAAGGCAATATTGGAAATGGAAAGAATAGGTCAACTATTTGATGGTGTCATTATTTTGATAATAGCACGTTGAAGCATACTACCAAACTTCCCTGCCTCAAACAAGTCCAAATTCTTCCTGTCTTTGTTGCCACATTGGGGCAAAAGGACAAGGTCTTGGTAACACAACTGCATCCAAGACAGACCTATGCGGGAATTATTGCAGTTTGGTACAGTTTTACCCTGTGTCACCAAGTTGACCAGGGCCGAGCAAGGTCAGTTCAACCCGCATACACACAACTCACTCGCACTTGCAGTTGGGTACAGTTGTATCCTGTGTTTGACCGGCAGGGTCAAGCAAGGTCAATTCTACTCGTACACACACAACTCACTCGCACGGGGTGGTCGAACTTGGCGGCCACCTGTTTGTGCTGCATCCGCTTACGGTCGACGTAGTTCTGCTTGCGAATCGCCTCCAACCTTGCCATGTACTCCTAACCAAATCATGGAAACAGCAAAGTCCGTGTTATGGGTGAGCAAGAAGCAAGAAAGACACAGCACTGCAGGAGAGTATGTTCTTTTTTCAGTGCACAAAGCCCATGCCCACACGCAACACCATCAGCGTGTAACAGATCCCAGAATACCAGCATTCGCATCGTATTCCGTATTTGTGGATTCTCCACAGGCTTTAGCCTAAGTCCAGGGAGTCTCCGTACACTATACTAGACTACTATCTCCTACCTGCTCTTGTTGGTTCCGTGCCACGAGCGCACCTCCCGGAGAAGCGGAGGGCGACGGCTTATCAATCGCTGGCCGGGCCGACGGTGCCACTACACGGTCAATGCAGAGCACAGAGAGAAACGCAACAAAACAGTGAACATACTCCAGGAGACATAGGAGTGATAGAGCGAATAACCACTCTGACTTGTAGAGTCAGAGGTCAAGGGTCAAAGATCAAGGGTCAAAGGTCAAAAAAGAGCCACAAGTTCTGATTATGCATTGAACAGCATCTCAGGATGTTTAATATTTTTTTAAAGTTGAAGCGACATCGCAACCACTCCCAACTTACCGTCCTTTGTCGGTGGTTGAGCCTGGAGGGGTGGGTGAACAGCACAGAGGAATGCAAAAGAACGTTTTTGATGGGTGTTGCATACCAGCACATCACAGCACACATTGTCAAGAGTCTATGGCTTTTTATTGAGGAATACAGCTCGCTCTCTTGCAGAGTGAATGAATCAGAAAACCTCCGACAATATGTCTGACCCGAGGTCTCAGGAAAAACGAAAACGTATTCACCGTTACAGCGTCGCTCAAAACCGGCAATGCACCGCCGGGAAACAACTTACAGGTTGAACAGGATTTCCCTGTGCCCGCGCCTTGTACGCCGCCTGCTGCCGGCGTCTCTCCAGATACTCTTCGGCCTGCCGTCGCTGCTCGGCCTCTAGCCTGGCTCGGTCTGCGTTGACAGGCCGTCCAGCAGCTTCTTGTTTGCCAGCCATTCTAGACGGCACATCATCAACAGCTGACTTCACTGGGTCCTTCTTCATCTGAGGAGTGGACACCGGACAAAAGGATAAGTTTAGAACATGGCGCCATACTTCGGACAGTGTTGAAAACGTGTGATGGCGGTCAAAGCTTAATGTATACACTGTACATGCATTGTACATGCATTGTGCATGCATTGTGCATGCATTGTGCATGCATTGTGCATGCATTGTGCATGCATTGTGCATGCATTGTGCATGCATTGTGCATGCATTGTGCATGCATTGTGCATGCATTGTGCATGCATTGTGCATGCATTGTGCATGCATTGTGCATGCATTGTGCATGCATTGTGCATGCATTGTGCATGCATTACACTAAGAAAAGAGGGAGTAGTTGGGGAGCAGTAAGCAGAGGTGTCTGTCTGGGATCCCACGGGGACCATTCCATACTCTCTGGCCATTGGAGCTTGGCACCTTTTCCACTAGGAAATTCCGTCCCTATGCACTTATATTTTCTCCGGTGCCGCGATGATGACACCGTTTGTTCCCAGCATGCAGCCAACAGTTCTGTCCCTTCCCATCACTGACCTCTCACAAGGATTTAGTTTGCACACTGCTTGCTTACCTCATCCCGTGGTAGGTCGGATTCCTGACCTCTCTGCTGACGAACCATCTGTAAACCGCAACAAGAGTTAAAAAAAATGAGCAAACAGCAAACTGCATGCCACATACAGGCTGTCCAACCGTCCTGCTTCGAGCAGGACAGTCCTGCTTCGAGCAGGACAGTCCTGCTTTGGACCAAAACATTTGTGTACATTTACATGGGAGACAATTGCCTTTGTATACATTTTATACAGGTGTCCTGCTTTGGAAAGGTGGCAACTTTACGGGTTGGACAGTCTGCACATAACACGTGCAAAAAGCTTTCCAGCGATTGGCCGGACGTTAAACACATGTAATACCTGTACAAAGAGTGTGTGATTGGCAAAGTGGTTAGAGCGATGGCCTTCGAAGCATGAGGCTATAATTATGGGTTTGATTCCCAGCGTGAGTAAAGATTATCCCTCCCCCCCCCCCCATGAAACCCATTTGATTTGGGTACCTGACTTCGGTTGGGGAGGCAAAGGTGACGAGGGAGAGGAGATGAGCACCGCAATTCACCATGCCGAGCTCTGTGAAACAGGAGGTCTCTAACACCTCCTGCTCCTGTGGTCAGAATTGACTAAGGGCCGCTATCTTCACCTTTCCCTTACAACCAGAATGGAAATAGCACACAATCATGCTGGTGAAACTCCTTCATTGAAATGTGGATGTAGCTTGTCAAAATAAATCTCATTCCTCCTACCTGCTGCTTCTCTGCCAGCTCAGCTTTCTGCCTCTTCAGCTGCTCTTCATACTCTGCTTTCTGTTCATAGCAGGACACAGTACAGGTCACCCACATACAACCACTCATTTAATAATAACACATTCGATACATGCACTGTTGTGGTCCCGTTGTTGTACCCGATCCGTTCCGGGATCGGTTACCCATATGCATTCCCGTACTGTGTACATATATGGATCCTGGTTGTGCATCTTTATCTTTCGTTGTTCTATGTAAATAAACTTTAGTTGTTGTCTGGGACTTCTGGAGTGAAGTTGATCTATGGAGTGCGGGAACTAACTTGATGTTCACTCAGGAACATTACATGGTGTCAGAAGTAGCAGTTAGTCATGTCGTCTGCCAAATTTCCTGTACCTGCCCCGTTCGATTTCTCCACCCCAGAAGCATGGCCACTCTGGAAGACCCGTTTTGAACGCTTTAGTTCTTTGTCCAAATTGGACGAGGCGGACGGGCAACGCCAAGTAGACACTTTAGTTTACTCCATGGGAGCCGAAGCCGATCCTATCTTTGAGTCTCTATCTCTGTCCGCGGATGATAAGAAGAAACTCGACAAGGTACTGGAGGCCTTTGACAAGTATTTTCGCCCGGGTGTAAACGTAATCCACCAACGGACATTGTTTGAAAGGTGTGTCCAGAACCCAGGTGAATCCGTGGAAGAGTATGTGCGTCGTCTCCGTGCCGCAGCCAAATATTGCGCGTTTGACAAGTCAGATGAGCGTATCCGCGACAGGTTGGTGGCCCATATGACGAACCGAGAAGTTTCGAAGAAGCTACAGCTCGAGGATCACGCTCAGCTGACACTCGAGACTGCCGTGAGCTTGGCACGCAAAACGGAGTCCGTAAACGCCGAGGTCGCCCAGCAAACGCCTCGGGTGAGCCAAGCTGCTGCAGCTACCTCACCGCAACTGAAACACGGCAAGTCCCCTGCTTACGCAAGTTACGGATCGACGGGAAAGCGACCACAGGTCAAGTCCCAACGAGACTCGAGCAACAGTAAGAAGTGCTCGTGGTGTGGCTCCTCCAAAGACCACAAATCGAACCGTGACGAATGCCCTGCCAAGGACAAGTCTTGTAACAAGTGTCGTAAGTCTGGACACTTCGCCAGCGTCTGCCGGTCTGCCTCCGCCAGTGCAGCACACAACGATTATGTGCATGTAGCTGAGTTTGACTTGCAGTCGGACCCCGTCGGCGAAAATTTCCTTGGAGCTGCTTCTACCCACACCGCTGACGAGCCGTGGATAGTACGACTGGATCTGTGCGGCTCACACCTCGATTTCAAAATCGACACTGGAGCTGATCTCAACATTATGACGCAGGCCAGCTACAACGGTTTATCTGCACCGCCAGTACTCAGTCCGTGCCAGACACGTATGATTGGGCCTGATGGGAACCAGCTCACGATACAGGGTGAGTTCCACACTTGTGCTGTGTTCCGTGATGTACAGTACCCAGTCACTATCCTGGTCATTGCCACTGGTGGTGTCAACTTGTTGAGCAGGCAGACATCTGAACAGATGGGCCTAGTACAACGTCTTCATGTTGGCTCTTCAGATGCCCAGCCGAAAATCGGATGCATGCTAGGCAAGCCAGTCGAGATTGAGTTGAAGCCAGACTGCAAACCATACAACTGTGTAAATGCTCGACGCATTCCAATACACATTCGCCTCAAGGTTCGCACCGAGCTGGAGCGTATGGAAAAAGCAGGTGTCATCACAAAAGTCGAGCAGCCGACTGACTGGTGTTCACCCCTCGTGTCGGTCCTCAAGCCGAACGGCAACGTGCGTGTATGCGTAGACCTCAAGCGCCTGAATGCCAGCGTCAAGAGAGAGCACTACCCGTTACCGACCGTGGACGACACGCTCGCACAACTCAACGGTTCTACCATATTCTCTACGCTGGACACCACGTCTGGCTTCTGGCAGATCCCACTCTCCGAGGAAGCGTCGTTGCTGACGACGTTTATCACTCCCTATGGCCGCTTCAAGTTCGAGCGCCTTCCCTTCGGCATAACGAGCGCGCCTGAGATATTCCAGCGCCGGCTACAAGGTCTACTCAGCGATATTCCCAACGTAGCAGTGTTCATAGACGACATCATCGTCTATGCTTCATCGATGGCTGAGCATGATGCTGCTCTGCTCGCCGTCGAGAACCGACTCCGCGATGCCGGTCTGACACTGAATCCGAACAAGTCTAAGTTCAGATGCACGTCCCTAAAGTACCTGGGCCATCGGATCAGCGACAAGGGTGTCCACCCTGACCCAGCTAAGCTGGATGCCATTGAGCGCCTCGCAGCACCAGCTGATGTGGAAGAGCTCCGTCGTGCACTCGGACTCTTCACGTACCTCTCCAAGTTTCTGCCGTCATTGTCGACCGTAGCCGCCCCACTGCGCGAGCTACTCCGGTGCGACGCGACGTGGCAATGGACCAAAGCACATGAGCTAGCTTTCACAGAGCTCAAATGCCTAGCTGCCTCAGCCCCGTGTCTCGCGTACTACGACCCGTCTGCACCGACCATCGTCACGGCTGATGCGAGCAGCTATGGATTGGGTGCTGCACTGCTACAGTTCCACGACAATGAGTGGAAGCCGGTCGCGTACGCCTCACGCACCATGACAGCAGCAGAGAAACGGTATGCCCAGATCGAGAAAGAGCTCCTCGCCTCGGTCTGGGGATGTGAACACTTCCATCAATACCTCTACGGAGCGCCCCGATTTACCATTCAGACGGACCACAAGCCGCTGGTCCCACTAATGAACACGCGTGACCTCGACCGAGTACCTCTACGCTGCCAACGTCTACTGATCAGACTCATGCGCTACGATGTACAGGCGGAGTACGTGCCTGGCAAGAACATGGTTCTCGCCGACACGCTGTCCAGAGCTCCTCTTCCTGACACGCCAGCAACCGAATCCGACCTACACAGTGACTCGGAAGCCACCATCGCCGCTGTCCTGTCGTCTCTATGCAGTCCTACCAAGCAACACGCTCTCGTTACAGCCACTGCTGACGATCCAGTCCTGCAACAAGTAATCCAGCATACCCTCCATGGCTGGCCGACCAAGGTCAACGCAGACCTGGAAGCCTACCGCAACGAACGTGGCTCGCTCTCAGTTCACGACGGTCTGCTGTACCACGGATTTCGGATCGTAGTCCCGGCATCCGAGCGCAAAGCTACACTTGCCACTTTGCATGACGGCCACCAAGGCATAACCAAGTGCCTGGCCCGTGCGAAGTCCTCCGTCTGGTGGCCAGGTATCACACGTGCCATTTCAGAATGCGTGCAGAACTGCCTGACCTGCACCAAGCATCGTTTTCAGCCGCCAGAGCCTCTGTCTCCAACTGCGTTTCCCTCTTTGCCATGGGAGAGAATAGGAGTCGACCTCTGCCAACATGACGGTCAGGAGTACCTCATTGCTGTCGACTACTTCTCCAGGTACATTCACGCCATCCCGCTACGGAAGACTACCTCTGGAGCCGTCATCAAGGAACTCCACGAGCTGTTCGCCATCCATGGCATCCCTCAAGTCCTTGTGTCGGACAACGGTCCACAGTTCGCAAGTGCTGAATTCGCCGCATTCACAGCCCAAATGCAGCTCACCCACCGCACCAGTAGCCCGCACTACCCACAGAGCAACGGTGAAGCTGAGCGAGCAGTTCGAACATTCAAGCGTCTCCTGAAGACCAACAACAGCCTCAACGATGCCCTACTCAGTTACAGGTCAACACCCCTCGCAAATGGCTACTCGCCAGCCGAGCTCCTGTTTGGTCGTCGTCTA